TGTTGCAGGCCAATAAATCAAAAGTTTCCATCGTGAAGCCGAAAAGTGGGGAATTCACAGGAAATGATTTCGAAAACGACTTGTTCAAAAAAAAAATATAAAGAACAATTTTTTTTCTGACCACAGAAATTGACACTTTAAAAATATTGTCACGTGTATTGGTGACTTGTAGACGGGGTTTGGATTAGTGAATAGATTTATTGAACGCTCACAGGTCGTAATTACATTTAATTATAGCACTTTAGAGATTACTGTAACTGTAATATATGAATTATATTCGTCAGACTCTGCTTGCTTAGTCGTTGCTTGATAACATTTCACTATTGAACTTCTTGATAATGAATCTCTCACTGTTGTCTGAATCTTGAAGACTCTCTACTCTCTCGAATTCTCTATGTGGATGTATACCCTCTCGAACTCTCTCTCAGGCTGTCTGAATCGACTGAACTTCTTTCATGCAGACCAAAATAGATCAGCAAATCGGAGAGTTGATTGCCCTCTGTTGCCACGAAACGTGTGACAATCTCCGGGCAAGTAGTTGATTTATACAAGCGTATTCTTTGCCGTGGAAACTTGTTTCAGCAAGCCGTTGTCTGGCAACAGACGTCTCTGCTGTGCTTTTCTGACTACACACTTCTGGCGTTCAGGCGTCATGTCGCGGTATGAAGAAGAGAAAGAGTTGATAGTGTTTTGGTGGAAGGGGAATATTGAGAGACATTGTATTGTAAGGGGAGGGCAGAAAAATGCTCCTGAAATTTCACCTGAAGTGCCCAAGTGCGCACCCCTCCTTGTGGCGGAGATATTTCTGAGGCAGGGCAAAGAGTTAGAAAGTGAAGAAGGCAAAGTGTTAGGAAGTGGATTTTGAAGTTCATCTACGTAATTTTTTAAAACGCATTCCTACCTCACAATAAGCACACTGTATCCCCATTGCAAAAGACTTAACGATCAATTCTGGAAATGATAGCTGTTTATTGTAAGAATCATGCGAAACAAAAATATATAGCTGTTTGGGCAAAATATAGATGTCCGTGTTTTAAAACCTTTCTCACAAATAGTTACCTGTCCTTCAAAACGCTGATAGTTGTATGGGATGCATTATTTGTCTGTAGACTTCAGAATAACTATATTTTGGGCAATGACGCGTTAAGAAGTATCAGAAATTTACGTGTTTTTTCGCATAGTGGGGGGTGGAGTCCAACTGGGTCCACTCGGCACGGCGGCCACTGATTGGCCTATTGCAGCCTGCACCGGGTGGTTATGATGATGGAGAATTTGGTGGAATGAAGATTGGCATGGGAAACCGAAGTACTCGGAGAAAACCCGCCCCAGCGCCACTTTGTCCACCACAAATTCCACTTTGCCAGACCCCGGATCGAACCCGGGCCGCTGCGGTGGGAAGCCAGTGACTAACCGATTGAGCTATGGCGCGGCCAACTTACATGTTAGTTCAGAGTTTCTTCCTGTGGAGAGAAGTTGCTGGATCTTTTACTGTTAAGCAAAATGCCAAACTTTTGTCGTTCCATCAGTGGCGGCTCGCTCGGAGTGCAGCAACTGCGCGCACAGGCATAAAGTATGAGAAACATGGATCCCATGCTACTGGTCTGGCTCGAATATTGGAACAAGCCAGAAGCACCACTCAATATTGAGCGGCCTCACCGGTACTTCATTTTTCAAGCCTTTGTTGGTGTTTCGGCGCCATTTTACGTCGTTATATTTGACCAGAGGTGTGTCATGGAGATTCTCCCCTGCTGCCGCTGCTGTCAGCCTGGATTCTTACAGCATTCCCCCTGCTTCTCATGCAAAAATGGCATGTATGTTTACATTAAGGATTAGCATTTAAATGGCCAATTGTTTCATAGTAATATCGAAGATTGGAATGCAGAGGGTTGAGTTTAGTTCTGCCATCTGGAATGTGACGCCATGTAGTCTGGCATATGTTTAAAGGCGTTTCAGTGAAACGCGCTGCATCCGTTTCCAAGATCAAAAAGTAAGCCAAGCAAACCGGCCTTATCCTTTGACCCAGGACCTTCCTCCAAAATGTCGCTAAATTTTTACCTGACCACATGGGGTTGTGTCCCAGAAGACATCACAGTCCTTGCTCTGAGAACCCAAATGTCACAGATTTGTTTACTTCCCTGTGTATAGTTTATTAAATGATGCTGTGAGTAACTGATGTGATGATTGGTGAATTACGGCTTGGAAAGGATGTGAGAAGAGGCAGTTGTAGTGTATAATTTATTGTATTATCCTGGGATGAACTGAGAAAATCCACGAAATAGCCTTGTCAGAGTAGTCAGTGTCTTGGCACCTCCTAACTACAAACCTGAGCCACCTTCCTCAGCAGAGGCTCTTGACATAAGAATGCATGAAATATTACCTCAACCCTCCTTGTAAAGCTGTTATTGATTCAGATTCTTCCCTTGGTATAATTGTCAACACTAGAGTTAAACAAGAGTGTATGTTTACATGTCCTTTACCAGACAACTGTACCATCTCCTTTCTTTGCCTTCAGTGAAAGTTTCTGAATGTACTCTGTGCTGTATTGCAGCCTCCATTGGATTGTTGCAGGTTTACTTCTGTGTTTGACAGTGTCACTGTTAAGCAGAATTTAGACTGCAGAGAGTGTGCCCTTGTATTTCATTAACCCTTATGTAAAGAAGAAAATTGGGAGATTAGGGAGAGACACCAGAGTTTTGGGGTTGGGTTGGGGTAGAAATACTATCTTGCTTTGAAGGTTTCTAAGCAGTGCCCACACATCCTTCTGCTGGAGGTATGATTGATAGACGGTGGGGAAGTGAAAGAGATGGATTACAACGTGAACTTTTCTGTGAACAAATGAAAGAAGTTGAGCATTAAGCCCAAATAAATGAATATCATATGAAATTTCAATTCTTACCTCATAGAAAATGCACCACATCTCTGTTACAAAGACCATTTGGTTAATATGTTTAGGAAAATAATTGCTATTCATGGTGAGAGTCATAAGAAACACAATGTCTAGGAACAATGTAAGAGTTTTTCTAATGTTAAAGTATGTTGTACATATAGTTAAGGGTTACACATAGCGGCCTCCGTAGTCTAGAGGTGACGTTCCCACCTCATGACTCGTAGTACGCGGGTTCAAATACCTGGCGGAGGTCGTCGAATTTTTAAGGGCGGAAAAATTCAGGGAACAAGTCCTCTGGGAGGGAATTTAAGCCGTGGGTCCCGTGTCGTAGATTTACGGCACGTAAAAGAACCTCATGTCTCTAGGAGACCTTTGAGCTAAATTTAGGCAATTTCCCACTCAAGTAGTTTCCAATGCCTCCGGTAGATGGGGGAGCTTAGTTACCACTGCCAGAGGAGGGACGACCTCACTGATAGAAAGGGACTAACTATCAGATACCACTGCCAGAGGAGGTTGAAACCTTGCTGGCAGAAAGGGGCTGATAGTAAGCACCAGTACCGGTAGGGTATGGAGACAGTAGAAATTAAAGGGGGATGCACAATGGACCACTAACCGGTCTAAGTGTGTGGGAAAACCCACCCCCTCAATACGGAATACGGAAATAAGGGTTACACATGCATCACATCAAACATGTAGATAAAGTATAGAATGAAGTGTTGAAATCAACAGTGAAATTAATATATTAATATGGGACACAAACTACCATGTCTAAGCTCAAAGAAACCTTTCTTTACTCTAAAGAGTGTGAGTAGAATAGAGAGCGGATTATTCAGATCAAAGGCTGAAGTTTAGAAATCTGTTATAATAAACAGCAACAAGGAACTTCATAACTTGTACTCTTATGATCATAATCAAGGAGGATGAGATGGGCAGGGCATGTTGCATGAATGGGTGTGAGGAGGAATGAATATAGAATATTGGTGGGAAAGCCAGCAAGAAAGAAACCACTATGAAGACAGTGTAATGGGTGGTTGCATAGTATTAAAATGGATGTTAGAGATATAGGATGAGGTGATATGGATTGGTTTGAGCTGGCTCAGGATAGGGATCACTGGAGGGCTGTTGTGAACATGGAAATGAACTTTTGGGTTCCGTAAAATGATGAACGCTCTTGAGTAGCTAGACAATATGCAGCTACTCAAGTAGGGCTCTGCGCCATGAAGTTACTTAGTTAAGCAGCAATTTATGCACATTTATGCAATAGTGTCACACCTAATCCAGAATAGCATATAATTATATTCCTGCTAATTATGGAACTGTCTGGAGACAGTTGCTCTATAACTGATCCTGCACAAGATATTAATGAAATGGTTCTGTGGCCAAGGAGTTACATCAAACATCCAACTGAAGAAGCTCATAAAAGTGTTGACAGGGACATTAACACTGTGCAGACTTTAAAGGGCTGAGAAAACGAGGTTCAGACTCAAAATTACTTAATGGAATTTCAAATGACACGCACACAGATCATACATATGAATCGGATTGTCAGCGTAACACACGCAAACACAAGCACACACATGATACATATTAAAGGGACTGTCAGGGCAACATATACATAACCCAGTGATCAGTTAAGTAGGCTCTACAAAATCTTCATGTCTTTTGATTTATTACATACTGATACAAGAGTTCTGAGAATGTAAATCTATAGTACCATTTATTTTTCAGACTTCATCACTTGGACACAATATTACTAAACTTTCACATGTATATATTCCAATTTCCTCTTTGTACAACATAAATATATAACATAGTTCTCTAACTTCTGCTGCTCTAGTCATGAAGCATTTATTTTTCTCCAACATCAGAGCTATCTTTTCTTTTGACTGAATGGCTGCAATCCTCTGTAGATGCTTTTGCTTACTCACAGCTTCAGTTACCAAAAAAATGCTTATGGAATTGTAAGTATAGATACTGAGTTGGCAGCTTGAAGTACACCTTGACAGCTCCCTTCCATATCTGTCCCTGTTCCTAACTCGCACTTCTCAAGCATTTGTCTGACCTGTGGAGCTAGCCAGTTGCTGTTAAGAATGCCTTTATCCGTGTGTTTCAGGAAACAGACGGAATGCAGCGCTGTCCGTATATCCATGAGATGAAAGAACGATTGCTCAGTAGTCAAGGTTCGAACCCAGAACAACAATTACTGGAAGGAATGGACAAAGACGTGCTTGAAATTCATGGTGACCCCACAGTGGGCACAGTTGTCAAGGTATGACCCTTGCTGCAACAATACAATTTGCACTGTCACAGTTGTCACTGTCGCGTTTGTCAGTGTAACAGTGGATCTCATTATGGTGCTATTTCCAATTCTCGGTGCAAATTGTGTTCCTATTGTTGCACTCTTCACTTACACATCTCAGTCTAACAGTTCTCACTACATAGTATTTCTAATTACAATAATGCATTATTATATTCAAGCGAACTATACCGACCGAATGACCGCCGCTTGTTGTCGAAGTTTAGTGCCAACTTTTGTGGATAGAGGGTGTTGCATGGTCAGTGCAATGATTCCCCATGGCCGTTAATTTCGCTTTTATAGACCGGAGACACTATTTCCTTGAAATAGCTCCTCAATTATCATCACGAGCCTGAGCGGACCCAGACCTCTGCGTCTGTAGCCAGGAACTCTGACCACTAGACCACAAAGGCAGTCCAATGTGTATATACTGGCCAGTGTATATAGAAGGAAAGGGGTTTGTAAAAGCTCTGTATACCTGATGATGGCTGCAATAGGCCGAAACATGTAATACATGCAATGCAGGGTGTGTTTATACCAGAATTGTGTGGATTGAAAATAATAAACATTATCTTACAATATGACACTACAGTATAATATTTCTAATAACAACTGTGTTGAACATTTCTCATCATAAAACTGTCAGTAAACTATGCCTCCCAGAACATGATATTTACGCTCTCACTGGATCACTCCGGGTTGATATGTGGTAGGCATAGTCGGTTGAGACACTATACTACAAGCTGGAAGGTTTGCAGGTTCAAATCCTGATGAGGTAATTTTTCTTTTTAATTGATCTAATCATCCCAGTCGGGGGGCATGCTATAGCGTAGCTGGTTGAGGCACTATGCTACAAGCTGGAAGGTCATGGGTTCAAGTCCGATAGGGTCAAATCAGCCTCTAACAGAAATGAGTACCAGGAATATTCTTGGGATAAAGGGCAGCTGGCACGTAGGGCTGACAACCTTGCCGCCATCTATGAGCCGATTGTCCAGAAGATGTGGGAACCTCAATGTCTCACAACCCTATAGGCCTCCACAGCCTGTTACAGGGATACCTTTACTTACTTTTATTTTTAATCCTCCCAGTCACACTATGGTCCTGGGGTTAAAGGGCAGCTGATGCATAAAGCTGACAACCTCACTGCCATCTGTGAGCCAGTTGTCTATAAAATGTGGGAACCTCTACATCTCACAAACCTATGAGCCTCCATGGCCTGTTACCCTTTAGCTGGCACACTACTTTCTGTGACACATTTATCACAATGTTAGCACTCATTCTGACCCATTTCTCTCTAATGAGCAGGTAACTGTGTGCAGAGATGCATTGTGTGTGTGTGGAGTGAGGCTTGTGTTAACTGTGGCGTTCTTGTGTTGTAGCTCAACCCTGGAGGTTATGGCTCCCACACCTCACCAACACACCACTGCACCAGACAACACCTCTCTGATGACTTCAATGAGGAGCCTTTTCTACCCAAAAATGCAAAGTAAGTGCATCAGAAATCATTTCTTACTAATGAAAATGGCAAGCAAATTGTCACACACACTTGGTTATGCTTAGCATCAGTATACTGCTCTTCATCTACTGGTGACACTGGTAGACTAACGTATCTCAATATCTAATATTTAGGATACATGATAATGAATCAGAGAGACTGTATAATCCATTGTGTAGTAATGCTGTTTGTCTAAGACACCTTTGAGTGTGTATCACAATCTTACAGCTACACAGATGGATACATCATCATTATAATTAATTCGCTTAGGGGTGTTGGGGGGTGCAGTCCAACTGGGTCCACTCGACACGGCGGCCACTGATTGGCCTATTGTAGCCTGCCCCAGGTGATTATGATGATGGAATTTGGTGGAATGAAAATTAGCAGGGGAAACCGAAGTACTCGGAGAAAACCCGCCCAAGCGCCACTTTGTCCACCACAAATCCCACTTGACCAGACCCGGGATTGAACCCGGACCATCGCGGTGGGAAGCCGGCGACATCGGCTTCATGCACAGTCCAACATCACATTTCTTGCACTTCAGTTTCCTTTAAATTTCATCATCTTCCCCTCTATGTTTCATTGCCATTGTACGTGTATGATGAATAAAACTCCAGTATTCAGATTCACTATGAACTCAGAGAAAACTGAATGCACTTTGTATCTCAGCTGCCATAAAACCGTTTGTTTGCAACCATAGAAAGGGCAATATTTTCTTGCAGCTGCAATGGAAGGGCTTGGCACTGATATACAAAACAAAGAATTTTCGCTCCATAGTAAGTTGGATTTGAGGTTTTAGCAACAGTGAGCATGAAAAGTACTATTTATGCGATATGATGACATGTGGTCTGGTAAATGTGCATGAAATTCTAGGCAAACCAGAATGTATAACTAAGTGTTAATACAGGGAGGCTTGAAAACTCACTGAAAAAGTTGTTGCCTTTCATATCTCATCAGCTCACACCACAGCAACAACACAGAATGAAGGTTATTGGCCTGCTTGCAGCAGGTACTCCCTTTCATATGTCTCACAAAATTAATGTCATCTGAATAAAGCATGGGACCTATAATCATCCTGGCACTCAGGGAACACCAGCTTTTATATCATGGAGTGAAATGTTTTGTATAACATGTGAATTTCTGTACTTCAGTGTTTTTGTGTGGTCACATGTCCATTTGAAAATTTGCTGTGTTTCTGTAAGGTCAAAGCTACAGTCACTTTAATGGTGTCCTTGCAGTCCCTTATGATATTTCTGTATGCTTGTCCAGGTTGCTTAAAAGCTTGCAAGGCAAATATTGAAGCTGTGCTCTAATATCATCCAGCATTTCTTGTTCTAATGCTTCAGATTTATGCTCTTATTTTCTGTCTCTCTGATTGCCAGTTGTTTCTCCTTTATAGACAGGACTCTGAATAGTGATTCTGTGGGGAACACAAACTTCTAAAACTTTCTTCTTCTAGATTTTCTCTAACACTTCATAGCAGACTTACAGTTAACACAATAGTCATATGACAACCCCAAGTAATCTAGCATAAACTTAACCATATCTAATGCAGGGAAACTTTCAAGAGACATAACAAAATAATTGAAATTACAGCACAGTTGTGGGCAGCTTACAGGCACATGATCTAGTAATTTCTATAACTGCTATCTTTATTTAATTCACAGTTGCAAAATTGATTTTAAGATGGTACTTATTTCATCTAATCTTTGGTTTTGTTTGAATGGGCATCTCCTTATAAGGTGAAGAGAAAAAATACAGATATACAGCAATGTACTGTATGGAATTTAGATGTGTAGACACTGAAACACCTCTGTTGAATGCTAGAAATTTCTGACGTGGGTCAGGATTTAACACTTGTTCTTGCAACTTCCAATGTACTTGGTAGTAGCTTCCATAATCTTATATAGACAGACCTTAAACATGCTCAGATGCCCTGATTATGTTCCAAAAGGGTAGCTATAGTAGCAGCTATGTGGTGGACCACCAAGTGGCCTTCACATAGGCACATATGATTTGAATGGCTTTCTTGTTACAGCTTTTGCCTGAAACAAATTTCCATTTTTGATAGCATCCATATGCAGAGAGATTTGATATGTATACAAGGGTGGATCAAATGAAGGGTCAGCTGTGGAAAGAGGTTTTAGGGATGGGGATTGTTTATTTTGATGGTTCTGCACATTTGTTGCATCTGAGCCAAGAACAATGTATGGCCATGTATTCATGCAAGAGAAGTATACAAAATATATGAACTAGAAAATGGCAGTACACTAAACACTCGCTAATCCAGTTACATTTAATCTGATATTGGATAATTCAGATTAAATTATGAAAAATTAAATTTCTGTTCACAGCTGAGTACATAGTTTAAGAGACACATGGGATTTAGGAGCAAGAGCGATAAGAGCAACAAAACCTTCAGGCTGTGTGAAGGCAGCTGGAGAGACTGAAATCATGCAAGAAAATATCCAAGATTTGCTTGAGCTGGATGAAAGAGACCCTGGATTTCAGCTTCTGACAGAGGAATAAATCACTGCAGACGATATTAAGGATTCTGCTATGGAAGCAGATTCAAGTAATAAACGGGATGAACTTCAAGAATCTATTCCATTTATGTTTCTTTTTTAATTTTTTAAGGATATCTTTTGCTTCATTTATCCAGATTATCACTTAATCCGGATGACTTCACCCCCCAAATTAAGCTGGATTAGCGAAGGTTTACTGTACTTAATGGTTTGAGATCTCACATAAAACACGTACCACAAGGTTACCGGGACGTTTACAATGGAATGTTGTCTGCTGGTACACCTCCAAAAAACTAAAGCACTGGGAAAGTAGCAATAGCTAAACATCAAACAATGTCAGAGATTGAGGAACATTAAGCAGATATGGAAGAACTAATTTCAAATCATGCTGCCATGTTTAGCATTGTAACCGCCTAAAAATTGTAAGCATATCTAATCATTTATCTAGTTTTGAGTTATGGTAAAAATACTGTATAGACAAATCTATCTGACATTATCATGCCACATTCCTGATGAACAATTTGCCTTCTTACCAAGAAGAAATATGACACTACAACTACTGCACTTCACAGAATATGTTACTGACAAATTCAACGAACAGCAACCATGTTCCTTGGTATGCTCAAAGCATACATCATCATCTGGATAATGGACTCATCTACAAGTTACACACAGCTGGAATACCAGATTCCATTATAGACCCAAGTTTTCTTGACCTTGGCACTAGTTGGAGGTGAGTGGTCAGTATCACACACATGTGACTTTATCCCTGGGGAAAGAGCCCCCAGTACCCACTGTATAGGAGGCTGGGTAGGCTCCAGAGCCGGTCTGGATGACGTGGAGAGGAGAAAATTCTTGATCCTACCGGGACTCAAACTCCAACCCCTTGGTCATCCAGCCCGTAGTCAGTCGTTATACTGACTGCACTATCCTGGCTCCAGGCAAGTGTCCACATACAGGCTAAAACTATTTGAACAAGAAAGTTCGTGGTCGCTAGAAGGAAAATATTTGGGCACACGCTTTGACAGGAGCTTGACATTGAAAGCGCACNTAGGAGGCTGGGTAGGCTCCAGAGCCGGTCTGGATGACGTGGAGAGAAGAAAATTCTTGATCCTATCGGGACTCAAACTCCAACCCCTTGGTCATCCAGCCCATAGTCAGTCGTTATACTGACTGCACTATCCTGGCTCCAGGCAAGTGTCCACATACAGGCTAAAACTATTTGAACAAGAAAGTTCGTGGTCGCTAGAAGGAAAATATTTGGGCACACGCTTTGACAGGAGCTTGACATTGAAAGCGCACAATAAGCTGTGGGAAATAAAGCATTGTAACGCTTTGTAGCACTCTACTCTATCTTTAAATGTTGAATACTTAACATGAAATTAGAAACCCATTTATACAGATAACTAATCCATCCCATGGTACTGTATGGAACTCCTGCATGGGGCTATGTGGCCACAAGCAAACAAGTAATTCAGAACAAAATTATTCAGAGTATCTCTGAAGAGGAAAGATTTACCTCAAATACATCAATCCATACCGCATTAGATGTCAGAACCTTAACCGAAGAGATTGAGAGTGCAGCCATAATGCTATATCAATGCATCATGCAACACAACCACCTGATCATAGCAGCACTAGGAAATTATGACATTCACATGCGCTTCACACCTCAGAAATCACTGCATTAACAGATCAAAAATGCAGGCAACCTACGGATGATGCACGAGTGTCGCAATAGCACCTCACAACAAGAGCAACACCAGAATGGACACACCACATCTGAGAAGCCAGGGTCCCCTGGGGGACCGTGCTTCTCTTCACAAATCATAATCCAGCTGAGCACTGTAAGTGTTGATTTTTGTTATCTCCTTACTGTTCACATGATAGTTGCAGGGGTTTAGCACCAAGCCACAGAATTCCTTGTTAGATTCTAAGTTTACATGACGGTGACTGTAAATAATCTTCTGGAATATGAATCTGTGCATTTTAGTAAATGTTTACCAGCTATTAAGAGGAACTACTGCATCCATCTTGAAGGTCAAATAGTAAGCTAAGCAAGTAAACAAGCAATAGACACTCTGGTTGCTGCTTGTATGCAACCTTACTCTTTGGCCATAATGACAGAAGCAGTATGCTTTTCTGAAATGTTTGTGAATTTTAGTTGGTACACAGCATCACATCTAAGAATATAACATTGTCACGTATCCAGGGTGTGTGTGTCTAATAGCGCCGCGCCATAGCTCAAGCAGTTAGTCGCTGGCTTCCCACCGCAGCAGCCCGGGTTTGATCCCGGGTCTGGTCAAGTGAGATTTGTGGTGGACAAAGTGGCACTAGGGTGGGTTTTCTCTGAGTACTTTGGTTTTCCCTGCCAATCTTCATTCCACCTAATTCTCCATCATCATAATCACCTTGGGCAGGCTACAATAGGCCAATCAGTGGCCGCCGTGCCAAGTGAACCCAGTT